ATTCTGTGACAACCGGGCAACTAGATTGTGTCGACTGAGAAACGAGTTGATCCAATCCTTCCCAGGAGCATTATTTCGGAATTTGGTGGCTGTTTTGTTGCAAGTCACAAACTGTTGCACGAGGTTTATTATGCAAGCCGGAGTAAGCGGAAACCCCCATATGCCGGATACTCGAATCACTTCCGCAAGCTCGTCTTCTTGCTTTTCGGTGAACACAGGACTGGCACCATATGCAATCCATGAACTTTATTGTACAAAGAACCATACGGGATTCCGAAAGAACGGGAGGCTGCGACAATAGATGACCCGTTTTTCTGCACTGCATCCACAGCTTCTTGCAAAGTTTCGGATGTGTATCGTGAATAGGTTCTTGCATCCACTTTTTCACGTAGACTCGAGGCATTTTGCACACGCAAGGGCTAGTATTTTACCGAAATCCGACTAAAATCTTCCGAAACTGCAGAACTAAACAGGCACACGCAGGCATGGAAAATCATTTGCATTCATTTCGTGCATTCATTTACATTCATTTGCCTTTAACTTTTTTCTTCAACAGCATTCCGCAAAATGATGTATAGAGCTTTTGTAGGTTTTATTATTAGCTACAACTTTTGTTAACAAGTCTAATCCGTATCTCTTATGCATCACGAACTAGAGCAAACAGAAGCCACTACTGTTTTTCAGTGAATGTATTTTACATTCACTGAAAAACAGTAACAAGTTCTGCCCGCTCTAGTTCGTGGTGCATAAGAGATGCAGATTTGAGTTATGATCAAAACTTGTAGCTAATAACAAAACCTACAAAAGCTCTATACATCATTTTGCGGAATACTGTTCATAAAAAAAGTTAGAGGCAAATGAATGTAAATGAATGTATGAAATGAATGCAAATGATTTACCATGCCTGGGCACACGTGATGTTTTGTTTACGAATGAGAACAGGTTTTTGATAGATGGTGGTCAATTCATAACATCGGAGTCGACCTAACTTCTAGACTGGGCTACCTAAAAGCGATATAATCAACAATCAATACGAAACTAACGATTTTAAATTGGCTCACCACTTTAGTAGCCTATTGGTCCCAAGCAAACGATTAACGTACCCTATTCTAGCCGAAATTCTAGTACTACGCAATGTTTGTTTTGATTCGCTATGAAAGTTTGACAGATAAAATGAGGGGTTATTGGTTTTTCCTATGTTTCGAGGGGTGAATCGATTAGCTTGGGACCGAAGAGAGTACCAGAGCTGAGCCAAAAAGTTGAGCACGTTATTTCGGGACCTTCTAGTCTTAGAGTTACCTCTATGATATATTTATGTCTGAATTTTGTTAGTTTTGTGTATTATTAGAAAAACTATGTTTTTAAATATTTAGTTCAAGAAATATGAAACATTGAATGCGTATATAATCAGAAAACATCATTAGCAATATGAAGACAACATTGAATTTATAATGGCTTTATCGGAAATACATGTAAGAAGTGATTGTTTGAGTGCCTTTTCAAACAGGCGAAAATCAATGAAATTGATTTTTCAGATATTTGAAAAATATGTAACACATACTATATAAAACTCTAAACGATATCAAGGGTAATAAACTAAACTACAACATGGAACCAATGTTTCCAATTCGGAAGTAGTGCAGAGAGTAAATTTAATCATTATATACAGGGTCTTATGCACTATCAAAGTTACCCGCATTATCAAAGATACTCCGTTTTACGGTACCCTATTCTAGTCGAAATTCTACTACTACACAATGTTTGTTTTGATTCGCTATGAAAGTTTGACAGATAAAATGAAGGGTTAGTGGATTTTCCTATGTTTCGAGGAGTGAATCGATTAGCTTGGGACCGAAGAGAGTACCAGAGCTGAGCCAAAAAGTTGAGCACGTTATTTCGGGATCTTCTAGTCTTAGAGTTACCTCTATGGTGCTAGTGTGCACGCTTGACGATTTTTTTTGAAGAATTTTCTTCTAAGAGTTATGTCTGTTTGTCTGTGATTAAGCCAAAAGCGCCAGCCCGTGTAACGTCAAAAAGAGCTGATTCATTCAAAGAGTGGTTATTGACAAATCCAAGTTTCAATCGGCCACCGTGGCGCTGCAATCGCAGCGGTGATAAGTCCGAAATAATGCGTCAAACTGAATACATTTTTGAAATTTCAACCAAAAAACTATTATTTTGTATTTATTCTAGCGAGTTTCTGTGGGAGTCAAAACATGATCCGAGCAAAAAATAGTACTCGTAATAATGGTATATAATTCTGAATTTTATCGCGCGTTGTTTCGAAAATATCTTCCAAATAAACAAACATCATTCAGATCACCCGATTCGTCCACCGACTAAATCTATTGCCACTTAAAAATTAATTTCAGTCGGTGTATTAATCAGCAGATTAAATTGTTTTTCGTCTGGTGCTACACCGAGAAATCGGCCTATTTAATAGTTTTTCGTCGATGGATTTAGTCGGCCAACTTTGTCTGCTGTTTAATCGGCAGATGATTTCAAACCTTAACATGTTTTCTGTAATTTAACTGTCTTGAAGTAGCTTTTTATTTAGGAAAAATGCATTACAAAATAATTTTATGCATTTTGTACAAGGTTCATCCATGCTGACAAGAAATTTGCATGAAATTACATTGAAATTAAACAATTTTGCAAACAATTTTGCAAACAATCAATGAAATTGTCAAGGGCTGTCACAGACTTATCACCGTCGGTTAGTGTTTATTCCTGCCACCAGGCGCGCAGGAGTTTAAGTTGGATTTCTCAATAGCACCAAAAGACACAAGCATGGATGTTGGCCTGTGAAAAATATGAAATTTTATTTTTAGTGGTAATCTAGTTGATACGTTGCATGCAACATACAAGCAGAATTCCCATAATTAATTAATATCACCATAATACTATCTTGAATCGTGATGCTGTCTTCAGCAAATTTGTTTCTTATAGTTTAAGCTACGTGTGCTGAAATTCTGAGTTTAATCAAGTTTGCTGAACCAGTTGTATGCACGAAAGAGTGAAGGAATATTATTTCTCCGTACATTTAAACCAATCCCCATAAATAAAAAGCTCCAGCTCGTGTTACATCAAAATGAGCTGAAATTTTCAGAGAGTGGTTTTCTCACCCAATGGCACAAATCTAGGGGTTGGCTCGTTGAAAAAAAAAATGATAAAAATTTCCCCTGTATAAATGTGGGCTGCGCAGGGAAGACATCCGTGACTAGCACCTTCAGCCACTGATTTTGGGTTAACATTTGCGCTTCTGACACGGGCGGCCTCAACTTCCGCTTCCTCATGACGATGTCCCAAAAAAAGATTTCTCCACCTTGCCTTCCGTCTTCCACTTCAGCGCTTGCTGCATCTTCCGGTCACACAAACCGGCTTGCGCTCGATGCTCTCACCTTTCTCCAGGAGCGCCAGGATCTTGTATATGGGCGCTCGGCTGTATCCGGTCGACACAAAGTGCGCCACGATGACGGACTTCTTCGCTCCGCGGTGGAGCCGGCGGTAATTACAAACCATCGAACGTAGTTTCTTCACTGCTTTCGCCATAGCTGTCGTAAACGAACCGATAGAGCTGTCATTTTTTTTCTGTATATAGCCTTCTTATATTTATTGACGATGACGAAAATCGGTGAACTTTGTTTCTTTTTTTAATGCAAGCGTTACTGTGCACTGGCAACTCGACCAGTGAAATCCGTCAATGCACTTTTTGTGCGATTCAAAGCTCACGAACGAACGCTATCGGCCAATCAAAGTTGGCTCCTATGGCGAATAGAACGATGAACGCTTCTCTTCCACAGTAGCAACAGATTTTATAAGAAATGCTCCATTTTCAAAATAAAAGTATTTTAAGATTGCACTCAAAATTTTGAAATCATCATCACTTTCATCGTTCTTCTTATTATCCACGGAGGCCAACTTTGATTTGCCAATCGGGAAGGGAAAACGAATTTTCCCTAATATTGCTCGTTTGGTAAGGCGAGCTTCGATTGACACGAATGGAGCATTACAAGTTTTTCTTTTATAAATGATGATACCGAAGCGGTTCCTAAATTGACGCACTCAATAATGTTCGACTATTTTCAATCATTATTTTTGAAATGTTACTTCTACAAATATTAGTTCCTGTGCTCTAGGGATGATGGCGTAACAAAGTTTAAAAAGTTTGTTAAAATCGAGATGCGATAAAAATAAGACGAGTGCGTCATCATTAGGGACTCGCAAATATGGTGCTGGCACGGTATGCCCTTTTTAAATTGTTGGAGATGTTTAACGTCAAATATCAGACTTAAAGTGGACATTGTGTACGATAGATGGGGATATGATAGTAAAGAGTAAATAGTATAAGTTCCGTAATAGTACGGCAGTGTGAAAATTGTATACAGAAAGTAGTAAGCGAGGAAAGGACAATTTTGAGGATTGTACGAATCGGATAGAGCATTATTTTTAAACGTTATGCGAGAATTAGGCAATCTTTGAATATTAGACGAGCAAATAAGTATTTTTTTTTTCCGTTTCTCCCCGAAAGGGATACAAAAAAAGCCTAGGGTCCGCTACATTTTTCCTCAATTTCACAAGAAATAATTGAATCATTGCCCCATAGAAGTAACTGTATGAAGAGGATACACTCTTCCCATGGTTTCACGAAGAGTTTAAAAATGCATTTAAAATTGGCATTGGTACATTTTTCCTCAGTATTTCAGTTTGTTGTTCTCCTAAGGTTATGAAAACTTCTTTCGATGTAACTACGATTATGTTAGTTTAGTTGGAACAAACTTTTATATTTATTAAAACTTATTTTTTAACAACGGCAAGATGTGCTGATATTTATAGCAGAATCCCTGAACGTTCAAATTGATGTGGTATACTTTATGTATAAAAAACTTCTTGTACTAGACAAACATAACATAGTTAAAAACTTTGAACTTTCATCATAAGAACATATTTCATCTTCTTAAAGTACAACATTAACATTCACACATTGCACCCGTATGTCCTTTCAATATTCATGTGGTTTGGAATGATCGTTACGTATTCTAGGTCTCTCCAGTTACTTAATGTCAGTCTTTTCCACGAAACCGCACTCGTTGTACGCGCGGATGTGGTCAATGTACTTGCCCACGCACGGGAACCAATCTTTTCCGGAGTAATCGATCTCGGGCAGCTCACCACCGTAGTTCATCGGCAGTACATCCGGGCTAACGTACTGGTGGAATTTCTTCATATCGCCACCGTGGAAGAACATCTGAAAAGAAAAAAAGGAAGAACGCACACGATTAGATTAGTGAGTAATTAGTTCATCGTACTCGGTGATTGATGGGAAAATAATAACTGGAAAATAGTTTGTGATAACAGTGCACCCCCAACCAAGTGTTAGAGGGGGGATATCAGATTGATCTGCCAACGCAATTTGAAGAAGGTATTTTATGGAGCATGCCTTAAGATTGGCCAACCGTGACGAGTTGTGATTTGTAAAAGAACGTCAATCAATCAAGTTAATCCTTGCTCAGCAGTCGGTGACGTCAAACGAGTTTGATAAGTCTAGTGATGCAATCACAGAGTAGTAGTGTAGATGCGGATGTTTCCTTACAAAGAAGTACATCATACGCATACCTACAAACTCAGGATGACCTACATCTACATAGTTTTCAAGGTCAACCTTTAGGCCGAGGTACAGACTCTGTTTCCATAAGTATAACTTTCAAGGTCATGTTACCTATATCAGAGCTGTGTAAGATTTATGCAATTGATATCACACTTGAAGTGTTAGTGACTTCAATTTCCTTAGTGCGACAAGATTAACAGACAGAGGAATTAAAGATGCAATGAAAGCAGACTACACATCCAGTAATGTAAGTTTATTTGTTTGATCACTTTGAAGGAAAAAAATATATACATATAGAGGAATTGAGATTGTTGTATAATACTTTCATAGTGTACCTATTCTACCCATTGATTCTAGGCAAATTCTAATACCAATAATGTCTACTACACTCTACATATAATCACACGATAGTTCTACTCCCTAAAATCACTATGCCAAACATCCTAGCACTTCTACAAGAAGTAAATAACTAAGGCAGTACATATGTATAATTCTGATTTCTCTCCATGTCACAAAGAATCTACTTCCAATACTTTTGCAACAGGGGATCATCCACGAAACCGAACGTGTTCCAATCGTTGACGTGGTCGATGTGACGGAACACGCACGGATACCACTCGTCGCCACCGTAGTTGATTGCCGGTTGATCTCCGCCGTAGTTGGCCGGCAGCAGCTCCGGGTCGATGAACTGATGAATTTTGCGCATGTCGTTACCGTGGAAGAAGATCTGCCACACACGGGGAAAAAATTGCGTCATATTTGAAATAAGTTGCACAGTCATTTCAATTAACTTTATTCTGTACTTGCCAAAGTGGTCCAGGTTTGTGTGATTTCGAATAAATCTTTGCCGGAAGTTGTTTTTGGAAATGAATTTTGAGGTTTTAGTGTGTGAGGGAGCTGAAGGAGCAACCATGTCCATTAGGGTGGCCAAAATAACAGAGTATCTGGAAACCTAGGGCCTCACCCATCAAATGATAAGCTAAGGGTTTTGCAAAAAAAAAAAAAACATTTGTATGGCGGCAACTCTGAAAATCGTGATTTAGAGATGTACACCAATGAGCTTTTTGAAAAAAAAAATACTACTTTTGCATATTAATGTCGAAAACATATTTCTAATGCACTGTGTTCCATCCCTTTTATATTTTCAACACATTTCTTGGGGTGTTGCTATATCGACGGGTTAATGCAATAATGTCACAACTCAACATAAAAATCGTTGAAAATTTCACTTTGGTTTTGATTTTTCATGTCGATTTTATGAATGGATTTCAATGTTATGTTAATCCACCGCTAGAAGAATGTATAGCCTTTGAAAATAAAGTAAAATATAGTGACATTATATGGTTTATAGATGCTTTGAAACGAGAAAAAGGGAAAAATGTGAAATTTCAAGCAGTGACAGTATTGCTTGAACCCGACGATGTGAGAAAAAAATTCACGACTTGTTAGATGCTTAATTTTTCAATTCTCATAAATGACGATTTTTAGGAGCATAATGTCATTTAATCATCAAAAGTGAGTGTTAAAATAAGACTCATAATCGGTTTAATACAGCTAAATGATATTGAATTAGCATGCACTTTTTTATGCATTAGAAATATGTTTTCAGCAATCACTTTGAAAAATGCAGTACCTCTACTTGGCTATGCAATAAAGTTTACAAAAAATGATATGTGATTCAGCGGAATATTTCCCGACACTCTTCAAACTTATTGCCAAGGTGCTAAACGGTTCCTAAATTTCCGAGATTTGCCAAATAAAACTAAGTGTGCATGAATACAATATTTTGTGCTCGATGATGGCTACCGAGTGAGTTTTAATGAGTGCCCTTTTGACATTCTTGACGAAGTTAATTTTTATTTATTTAAATCTATGTAGGCCTTGAAATCAACATACAAAGAGCAGAGTATTACTCAGGATTTTTGTTTAGGTGGTCAAGTCTCAGTTCTGCGTCCCTCCCTCTGGTTCTTTCCCCTTTCAAAAGCCCTTATCACATTTCATAATAAAACAAATGAAAATAGATTAAAAAAAAAAACGGCAGCAAAAAAAGATAGAGATATTGCAACAAATTCTCACTTTTAGACCTGGTCTCTCTCACATGATGTGGAAGTTATTCAGCGCAGGGATGCTAGCCTAAATAACATTGCAAGCTATATAGAGGTTTTATAGCACTCTACAAGCCTAAATCATGGTTTACAGAACCCTCATAAAATCAAAATTGTTACTTGGGAGGTGTATTTGGAAGAAATCTTCAACGAGATCGACGAGATGTCTTCACACCTATTCAACGCTATTTTTGAAATTTGCGGGCGGCGCGAGGTGTCCAATATTTCAGATTAATAAAACTGAATCTTCCCAGAAGTTCAGGGTGCTTCAGGCCAGCTTCGTAAAAGCTCGGAACACTTTTTATATTATTATAATGTTGTAGAACTTCAGGGAACTTCATAGAACTTCAAAAAACATCGTAGAACTTTCGAAAACTTCGTTTACATCCATTGAACTGCATAGACATTCTGGATACTATCTAGAAGTGCTGCAAATTTTATAAAAGTTCAGCCAACTTTGTGGAAGCTCAGTGCACTTAAGAGAATTTCGTAGATTTTCAGAAAGTTTTGTGTGAGTACAGATAAATTTTAGTAACTATATCAAATATTGTTAAATATAAGTAATTTTAAGATAAATTTAGCGAATGTTTAAGGGATTCAAGAATCTATTTACGGACATTGTAGATGTTCAGAGAACATCATAGAAAATCAGGAAATTTAATAAATATATTCGGCAACCGGGAAGCTTCAGAGAATTTATAATAAAATTATCAAAATATTAAAAACTTAGTGGTATTGGATATTTTATACAAATTTAGGAAACTGCGTTGAAATTAAAAGGGCTATGTTTCATTTCACGAAACTATCAAAAAAGTTCCTTTTATAGCATTAGAGGTTGAAGATTTATGGACTTAAAATAGATCAACAATTTCGCAGAAAGTTAACGAAATTCTAGAAAGTACAGAAAACTTTAAACAAATCTAGATAGAGCTGGAATTAGGGCGTAACAGCCTTTGTAAACAATGACTTCTATCGATGATTTCTAAGAACTCAAGGCACGCCCACGCAAACAAACATAACCGTCGGGTAGGGGAAGTCTTCCCCTACCCGATGGTGTTCTTGATTTGAGTTGGCAAGCCTTAACTTTCTAAAAATCATCGATAGAAGTCATTGTTTACAAAAGCTGTTACGCCCTAATTCCAGCTCTATCTAGAAATGTAGCGAACTTTACAGGGGCCTCCCTTAGCTCAGTCGGTAAAGGCGCAGCTACAAAGCAAGACCATGCTGGAGGTGGCTGGGTTCGATTCCCGGTCCGGTCTAGGAATTTTTCGGGTTGAAAAATTTCTCGACTTCCCTGGGCATAGAGTATGATTGGACTTGCCACACAATTATAAAGGGCGAACACGAAATTATTGCGACACATTCAACAGGGCATAACTTTTTTACCATTGGGTAAAAATCAATCAAATTTTGCACACTTTCTCATTGATGTGTATTGTGTACATGCTGTTAAACTCGAAGTCATGTTTTTCGATTCAACGAAAATGGAGGTGAACCAACGCGAGTTGAGAGAACAAATTCTTTCCAAACACCTGGAATTTCCTGACCAGTCGCACCGGCAGTTGGGAAAAATGTTGAACATTCACCATTCAACCGTCTCCATAGTGTTGAAGCGGTTCCAGGAGCGGTTGACGTTGGACCACGGCAAAGGAGCTGGAATAAAACCGGGACCGGAGAACAAAAAGACGGAGGGAAAGGTCAAGCGGATGATTAAAGCAAATCCCAACGTCTCAAGCCGTGATTTGGCTAAAAAGATCGGCATGTCGCAGAGCTACGTCCAGAATGCAAAGAAGAGAGCTGGACTACATACATACAAGGTACAGAACTTCCCAAACCACGATGAGCGGCAACAATCGACGGCTAAAACTTGGGCACGGAAGCTCTACGAGAAGATGCTGACAAAATATGGCTGCTGTGTGATGGACGACGAAACGTATATAAAAGCCGATTTTAAGCAAATTCCGGGGTTGGAGTTTTTCACCGGCAAGCGCAAGTTCGATGTGGACGACAAATTTAAGAAGAAGAAAATGTCGAAGTTCGCCTCCAAATATCTCATTTGGCATGCCATCTGCTCTTGCGGACTGAGGAGTGAGCCTTTCGTGACAAAGGGCACAGTAAGTGGCGAGATCTACAAATCTGAGTGCCTCGAGAAGCGCCTTTTGCCGTTCTTGCAGCAGCACGATGAAGCTCCGCTATTTTGGCCAGATTTGGCATCATGCTACTATTCTAAAAGTGTTCTGGAGTGGTATGAGGCCAATTCTGTCCATTTTGTTCCAAAGGACATGAATCCGCCAAACTGTCCGGAGCTGCGCCCGGTGGAGCAGTACTGGGCAATAATGAAGCGGGAACTTCGGAAGAGCAAGAAGACAGTCAAAGACGAGAAGGACATGTTAAGAAAATGGAAAAAAAACTGAGAAACTGGTACCGGATGACACAGTAAAGACTTTGATGGAGGGCATCAAGCGAAAATGTGTTCAATTTTACACTCAAGGCTCCATCGATTAAATTTTCTTTTGATTTTTGAAGTAAATATAT